TAAAATAAATATATATATATATATATATATATATATATTACGAGAACGTTTTGCTAAGACATGAGATATCCAAACTCATGATCCATACTCCTTAATCCTAAATTTTATGTTATGAAGTATCCGATCTCTAGACCCACACCCATATCGGGTACCCCCACCTGAGACTAAGGCTGGGCACCGGACTGGGTTGTACCCGTACCGGTCCGGTACCATTCCGGTCCGATAGTCTTTGGGATGGAATGGGACACCGTGAACCGGTACTCGGAACGGAACGGTATCACCATTTGATACCGGTGTACCAGTACCGGTTTATCCCAGTTTATTCCGGTTCCGGTTAATAATTTTTTATTAATTGATTTATATTTTATAATTTATATATAGGCATATTTTCAAAAAAAAAAAAAATTGGATTGGATTGATATTTTTTTAATTTGTGTCGTTGTTTTATCCTTATTTTTATTTAATTTTTTAAAATTACAAACTTAAGTTATTTAAATTACAAGTTATAAGTATAACTTATAACATATTAATAAGTAATAACTTATAAACTTCAAAAGATTCAAAATTTCAAATCTTGAAAATTTAAGCTCAAAAACTTCAAAACAAAAAAACTTTATTAAACTTAAACTTGCAAATTTTAAAAGTAAAAATTAAAAAAAATATCTTTAAAATAAACTTAAGTAAAATTACATTATAAATTTCAAAACTTAAATTTCAAAAGGGTTTTTTTTATGAAAATAGAGGGTAAGAGGAACAACCTTGTTGAAGCTACAAAAACTTCGATTCCAGAGACACCTAAATTGAAAGGAGCTAAGGAACTAAAAAAATTGGAATCTGGTACCAAGTTCTTTAGTTATGGATCAAGAAGCAGGGGAGGATGCAATATTGATCGTTCTCATGAAGATTAATATTGTCTCATGGAATGTGAGGGGGCTCAATGACGCGAGAAAGAGGCAGTTGATCAAGAGTCTGTTGCACACCTGGAAGGCAGATGTATACTGCTTTCAAGAGACTAAGTTGCAGGGGGATATAAGGAATATTGTAAGAGAACTATGGGCTAACAGATGGGTGAAATATGCCCAATTAGAAGCTAGTGGTACAAGAGGGGGCATTCTCATTCTCTGGGATGGTAGAGTTTGGGAGGGGGAAATATGCGAGGTAGGGGCCTATTGCATCACTTGCAAATTCATGGGAAAAACAATGGATTTCAGCTGGCACATGTCTGGAGTATATGCGCCAAACGACAGAGAAGAGAGAGAAGAGAGAGAAGAGGTCTGGTGGGAACTAGCATCGGTGAGAGGGCTTTTCTCAGGTCCCTCGGTGGTGGGGGGTGATTTCAACATAGTCAGATTTCCTTCAGAAAAAAGAAATTGTACCAGATTCAATAAGGCTATGTTAGACTTCTCAGATTTTATTGAAGATATGGAGCTAGCAGATCCTCAGCTAGTAGGAGACAACTTCACGTGGAAGAGAGGGGAAAGACATGACTCTGCAGCAAGACTTGATAGGTTTTTGATATCAGAAGAATGGGAGACTTCCTTCAGAAACATCAAACAATCAACTATGCATAGGGTTATTTCTGATCATTGTCCGTTGATTTTAGAATGCGGGAACTGGGAAAAATCAAACTCTTATTTTAAGTTTGAGAACTGGTGGTTACAAACTGAAAACTTCAAAGAGATGGTGAAGAATTGGTGGGACTCATTCAATGTTAGGGGAAGGCCAGACTTTATCTTAGCAAGTAAACTAAGATACTTGAAAGATAAACTCAAAGAGTGGAGTAAAACAAGACAAGGAAATTTGGGACTGCAAAAACAAAGCATTCTAAATCAATTGGCTGAATTTGATGGGATCTAAAACCAAAGGCAATTGACAGATGATGAGATTTATTTGAGAGCAGTTATCACAGTTGAATTTGAAGAAAATGCAAAGAGGGAAGAAATCGCTTGGAGACAAAGGTCCAGGGCTTTGTGGCTAAAAGAGGGGGACAGAAACACTAAGTTCTTCCACAGAACTGCAAACTGTCACAAGAGGTACAATAACATTAACAAGTTGTCTGTCAACAGAGAATGCACAGGGAAACCAACAGTGATCAAAGAAGAAATCATTAAGTTTTATCAGAACTTATACGCTGAAACAGAAAGATGGAGACCCCAATTCAGTGCCAGATCTGGTGCTATGGTGAATGAGATGGATAACATCATTCTAGAAGAACAGTTCAGTGAAAAGGAAATAATGGATTGTGTTATGGCATGTGCTAAGGACAAAGCACCAGGTCCTGATGGTTACACCATGGCATTTTTCATAGCTTGTTGGGATGTGGTCAACAAAGAAGTAGTTTCAATGCGACCTTCATAGCACTGATACCAAAAAGATTGGGGCAAAGGAGTTGAAGGACTTCAGACCCATAAGCCTTATAGTAAGCATTTACAAGATCCTATCAAAAATTCTGAACGAAAGGCTCAAGAAAGTAGTCTCCAAGCTGGTGGATGCTCAGCAATTGGCCTTTATAAAAGGCAGACAGATTATGGATGCAATTTTGATTGCAAATGAGTGTGTGGATGTCAGAAAGATCAGCAAGGTCCCAGGGATCCTTTGTAAGTTAGATATTGAAAAAGCTTACGATCACCTTCACTGGGGATTCCTCTGGAAGACTTTGGAGAATATGGGTTTTGGTGGAAAATGGATGAAATTCTGCATCACGACTGTGAAGTGTGAAGTTTTCCGTTCTGATAAATGGATCTCCTTCTGGATTCTTCTCATCTCAGAGAGGATTAAGACAAGGGGACCCCCTATCCCCTTTTCTCTTTATTCTGGCAATGGAAGGACTAAATGACATGCTCAGAACAGCCCAAATGAAAGGATGGATAAGAGGTTTCAATGCCAACATGAATGATAGACAGGGCCTGGCCATATCACACTTACAATATGCTGATGACACCCTGATTTTTTGTGATGCAGAGATTTGCCAACTAAAATATTTAAGAATCATAGATATTGTTCGAAGCCATCTCAAGATTACACATCAACTGGGGGAAAAGTTTCATTTACCCCATTAATAAGGTGACCCAACATAAATGCGTTAGCAAATATCCTGGGGGAAAGATAGGAGAACTTCCCACAGTGTACCTTGGCATGCCCTTGGGGGATAAGAGCAAGTCAAAAGGCATATGGAACAATGTTCTGGAGAAATGTGAGAAGAAGCTAGTGAATTGGAAAAGCAAATATTTGTCTCTAGGTGGAAGAGTTACTCTCATCAACAGTGTGTTGGATGCCATGCCTACATACATGATGTCAATTTTCCCAATGCCTACAAATGTGATTGACAGAATGGATGCTATCAGGATAAATTTTTTGTGGCAAGGGAACTGTGATCCTAATGAGCACAAATATCATCTTGTAAAGTGGGATGAAGTCATTCAACGCAAAAAAGTAGGGGGTCTGGAGATAAGGAACCTAAAATTGCAGAATTGAAGCCTTCTGATGAAATGGCTATGGAGATTTGCATCAC